TTTATGGGTATTATTACATTTTTATTTTGATTTGTACAAGAGGTGGGGGAAGATTATTTGGTGGGACTACACAAGCTGGATGTGATCAGGATGGAGGAGGAAGCGGATGTTTCTCTTTCCGTGCAGCCCTTGGTTCCGCAATACAGTAAGGATTTTCAGTCACCTCAAGGATGGCCCCCTCCACCGGAACACGAGCATATCTCCACCTTGAGGACAAGGTGGATTTTCGGGAGGGGAGTATTGTTAGACCGGTCCACTGGACCGGTCCAGCCGGTCCAGGCGGGACCGGCCAAGTCGCGAAACAGACGACCTGTTCACCTGGGCGGAGGCCGCGCGCACCGCGTGCCTTGCGGGAGCCGAATAGGAAGCTTTTTTGGGGAAATTAAGAGGGGAATTTGAATGTAGGGACTGTTTAGGGATTTCCTTTTGATTTGTATGCATTAAATAGTTTGTTTTCTTAGGGTTTGGGTATCTTGAATTTGGCTGAAATTTGAGATCTCTTAGATTTAGGTTTTCTTTGGGCTCTAGCGGCGTCTAGAGATTTGGGAGAGATCGATCCTCCTCTCGAATTGAGGATCAATTGTATCTTGCTCTTTTATTCATCGTTTAAGTGGAATACAAGTCTTTTCTTGAGTTTTCTCTCGTATTTTCCCGAACAAGTGCTGTTTTTCTGCTGTAAACAGCAGAAATCTGCTGTTTTCCTGCGTGGACAGCCAGTTGGCTGCTGTTGGTTCGCAGATTTTGGATAGGTTGCTTGTGAATACAAGCACTTCCTATCAGATTAGTTAAGGATCAATTAGATAGTAGAATTATAATAATTAATTGAGTTTTTTTTTAGCAGCCGAATAGACGTTTTTAGGGAGGAGACTTTTGGAAATCGGTTGAAGAGTGGGACCCACTCTTTTTCCATATATGGTAATTAATTCTTGGTAACTGCCGTTATTTCTGTGAAGGAAAGCAGAAAAATTTGTAGCAAGAATTCGGTTCTCCACTCTCAACCGAGACCCGCAGGGAACAGATTGGCTGAAGCAAGAGGCATAAGCGGCAGCGGCTGAAGGATTTTTCCAATTTCCCTGTAGAAAGATTCGGCACAGTGACTTCTTGCGGGCTGTAGTGGTTTCAGCATAGTGCTGAAAACACTGTAGCAGAGGCGGTCAATTGCCGCTGAGAACAGAGGGAATTCGCAGAACCTTCTGTAATAGTTCTGTGGTTCAAGGGATTCAGAGTATATCTTTGAAGGGAATTTTGCTGCAATTGTATGGTAGGATTATCAGAGGAGAGAAAGGAAGAATAGAAGAAAAGAAAATCGGAAAGAAAGGAAGAAAAGGTGAGAAGTATACTATTAACCTTTATCTATTATGTCACCTAAATTTAGTAACATTTCTAACAGTGATAACCTAATTGTATGATAGGATTATTCACAGATTTATGCAGAAAGAAAGCTTTGGGTTTGTGTATCAAAGGAGAAGGATTCATGGTGTAGGTTTTGAAGAGATCAACAATCAAAAAGGTATATTATGTAATTAATTATAGTTGTAATCATCATGAATGGTTAATTTATTATTTATGTTTTGAAAGTCTATTATGCAGAGATGCAATATGAGAATTTGTTTAGTCATCATGAAGATATATTAAAGTATTCACAACTTTCAATCCATGAGAACAAGAGAGATTTGATAGATGTTAAAATGTACTTATCTCAGTCTTTTCTTAACTGATAATTTTATGCAAAGAAGTTTCTGTTTTAACTTAGTAGCTACTAAATTCATGGTACACCAAATGTATAAGTATAAGCAAACTTGAAGCTTATAATCATTAAAATCAGATATGTATTATGAAGGTATGATGTAAGGAATATCAAATTAAAAGTAAAGATTGGCTATATTATGATGAAATGATGTCTACAATATCAGGTGGGCAAAAGAGACCCAAATTACTAAGCCTGTTTTGTAGAGGGGGCAAAAGGGACCCAAAAGAAAAAGAGATCTGCATAGCAGGTGGGGCAAAAGGGACCCAAATGAGGCAAAAGGATCTCAATATAATTCAATGGCGATAATGCCAGGGTAACTTGGGCTCTATTGAATATTGTTATGAATTTATAGCCAAGTCTTTTACATATTTAATTATGATATTCAAATAAATTCGAAGAGAATTAAAAAATGCTAATTAGGATTTATGATGTTGTTATCATTAAAAGGTGAGTTTAATGCTTTATGACTTCAAGATTTTGATTTATTCTCTTCTTATATTATAACTGTTATTTAAATTACATAATTTACTGGGCCTCATAGCTTACCAGTTATCTTTTACTGACTGTTTTTACAAGAAAAGGAAAAGAAAAAGTGGAAGAAGTTTGATATGCAAGTATTTAAGTTTTATGTAAATGTTTATTTAAATGTTTTAATCTACTCTTAAGGTTAGTAAAGAAGTTTTAATGATGTTTTACTTTGATCTGTTTTGGATTTCCTTAGTGGCTCTATACAAAGCCTTTAATGTGATGAAATTTGGGGAATTATTAGATGCTTCCTTTGTTATTCCAAATGATGTTATATGATCTTCTATTTAGATCTAAAATGAATTCAACAGATCTCAGAGGTAAATGATGAACATGTTATGATTAGTATTGTTGCACTCTGCAGTACAGTGTAGTCTTTTGTGGGGTGCTACAAGTTCAGCATGCAATTTTTAGATGCTAAGTTTCAAATGGTCATGGTTATCCTACAGAAAACTTCGCATATCCCAAACAGAAGTATTACTTGGTCGCTTAATATTATTCAAAAGAAAAGTTAAATGAGAAGAAAGCCAAAGGTGGTTAGTCAGTGAATGGAGAATTCAAAAGATTTCATGGTTGAAGTTTTTCCAATACTCAGTAAAGTCAATTCATTAATGCGAGCATCTAGCTTGACAATAATTAAAAATGTATTAGCTCAGGTAAACTAGTCTAAAAAAATGAAACAATAATGTTATGAGGTTCGTGCTTGCAGCAGCCATCTTTATAAGATATTGAACCCAGAAAGAATGGACGCTAATGCAGTCAAGGTTATGAATTTAAATAGATATCAAAAGCCCGTGATAAAACTACGGAAAGAGAAGGTAAAACAAAGAGCATCATAGGAAGCCTCAACAAAAAAATTGCAATAAAGATAAATGGAAACTCGCAACTGCTTGGGAAATCTAATATGCGATAATCTTCAATAAACAGCAACTTAAAGGTAACAATTATCTTATAAACGATCATTTGAATGACTAGAAAATCAAACTTCCTTACGTGCACTGTGCAAAATATAATTATGTGTCCCATTACGGAGAACTATGACAAATTATTTTCAACAGGTCAGATGGAACTAATGATGTAGAACGGGTATGGGGATTTGAATTCTATGGATCTTGAAGAGCAAATACAGAAGTCTAAACAGCAACTTTTGGTTTTTGCTCTCGGTAGGCATGCTTGAGCTCGGATAGCTTCATAAGCTCTTCGATAACAAGTTTATCAGCAGCCTGGATCTTCTCAGGGTCATAAGGAGTATGAGCATCCTGCAGCTGAATGTATGCAGCTTTCAAAGATGAAATATTGTTGAATATTTTTGATACCAGGGTCTCCATTGGCTCTTTATTCCGATTTGCTGCCTCTTCCATTGGTTGTGGATAAACCTTCTGGTTACTGTTATCATGGCCTGGGTTTTCTTTTGGTCCTGTGCGTAGCATAGCTGACTCCTAACAAGCAGCAGCTATCTCAACTTTCTCTGATTAAAAGATTAAACATTTACCATCTCGCATGCTTGGACAGCAGTTGGTAGCTTTATGGCAGCGAAACTGGTGGTCTCCTCTTGCTGGAATTGATGGACAGCAAGTTGGAAATTTGGGACAGCAATGGGAAATTCTGGACGGCACACAAAATCTGTCCAGAAATCTGGACAGCAACTTGGACTAGGACAATTCAGGATTCTGGCTCTCTAGATGCAAGAAAACTAGATGAATATTATGGGGAATTCTCTGCCCAGCAGTGGCGGGGAATCTGAAATTAATTTCAGGGCATAAGGAGCATGCCAAATAAGTCACAAACTAATATGGAGAGAAAGGGAAAAGGGCCGGCTGGTTATGGGAGCATTAATGGGCTGACTGAAGGCTTAATTGGGTGCATTAATTAGATAGGAGAGAGGAAGAGAGGAGGGGGCGGCAGCCCATGATGGGGTTTGATTGGCTAATTAATTGAGGGAATTAATTTGGATTGATTGGATTGGAGAGAGAGGGAGGGGGCCGGCCATGCAAGGGGCTTGATTGGGGGGATTAGGGAATCCTTTCCAAACTTAGGATCTAAATTATGGAAAGAGGATTAGATGGAAATTTCTGATTAATTTCAGATTTGAAAAGATTGTGAAGTTTCTAAATTAAATCAATCTTATTTTAGGAAAGGATTCAAATCAAATAAATTTGAATTTGAAATTTGAAATCCTTCCAAATTTAAGATGATCCAAATTAGGTAGGTCTTCAATTCTTTCCCTAGAAGAAATTTTGGAAAGAAAGGAATGAGGGAGGGAATTAAGGAGGCTTTAATGCTTCCTTAATTTTGGGGATTGGATTTAGAATGAATTAAGTCATCCTAATTAATTCAAAATCCAATGGAGGGAAAATTTGAAAACTTTCCTAAAATAGATTTTATAATTTAGGAAAGAATTTGAATTTCAAATTTGGGGAAATTTGAATTCAAAGACCAACTAGATTATGACAATCTAAAATTAGGAATTATCCAAATTAGGCAATGGGGTATGGGAGAGGGTGTGGCCGGTGGTTTGAATGGAGCGGGTAAGGGTCCGGCGGCAAGGCGGAGATGGAGACAACGTGATGGTGGAAGTAGGGAGAGGATGAAGATGATGACTAGTAAAAACAAGAAGGAACAAAAACAAAAACAAAAGATAAAAGATAAAAGATAAAACCGCGAGCCTTGAACTCTTCCGAAGACTGACGGGTGATACGTTGCCCTCTTCCAAGGGACTTCAAACCACGAGCCCGGACCCATCCTGCGGTTGGTGGAAACTCCGACTCCCTCTCATAGGGATCTTACTAACGTTCTTCCCAAAGAACACAAGTGCAAAACACATTTTTTTAATTAATAATCCATCATTCTAATACAAGAGAAGGGGCCTCTATATATAGGCCTTAAAAGAAATTAAAAGACACATTTGCCCCTTAGGCTTACATAAGACAAGAGGGTAAAAAAGGAAAATTGCAGAATTAAATCAAAATACACTTAATAAACTAAAATAAAACAAATTGATCTTGGTCGTCGATCTTCAGCTCCTCCTTGGATAGGCATGGACGGTTGGATGTCCGCATCAACTAATGAAGTCAAAATGGCAATAATGGTCATAAGACTAAGACCGTTAAATAGCTTTATATGGAAAAAATAAAGGGAGAAAAATACCTGTTTGAAACCCACTCACATAAGACCTTTCCAAGGGACTTTTACTTGATCACTTGCTGATTTGATCAGTCAATTGGGTTAATAAAAAGTTTATTATTAAATATCAAATAAGTTAAACCACTTTTAGTTTACGCAAGTCTATACAGAGTGTTGTGTAAAAGGGACTAAGTCATTCATGTAGCACAAGACATGCATCAAATATAATTCAATATTATTTCTATAATATTCTAGCATTTTAGATCATTTTTGGATTTTATTTCAATGTTATTGCATTTATTTATTAAGATTTTTTATTTAAAATTACATGAAAGGAATTTTAATAGTTAGCTAGTTTTGATTTCAAAATAAGCTTGATTTTATCTTGTAGCTTTTTTCTATTTATAGTAGTTGACTGATATTAATTGCAATTTGACTGAATGAATTATGCATTCCATTTAAAACATTCCCAGCAATATCCTCCATTCTCTCTCCTAAGATTCCCTGTCTCCTCACGAAAATCTCTTCTTCCCATGCCCCACCCACAACAATCTCTCTAAAATGATTTTATAATTCATGTTGAACCATTTCACATAATTTCTCTGTCCAGCATAAATACCAAGACAAGTGATATTTTCTTCTCAAGAAACCCCCAACTAAGAATCGTGGTTTTAAGTTTCGATGGATTCAGTTTGATTTTGATGATTTTGGATTAGTTTCAATTGAAATTGATAAAAAAAAAATAATAACATTTTTTATTTTGACTAATTTTGAGGTACTGGGTGATACTGAATTTTTGGACAATACTCAAAGAGTTTTTAACTTAAAAACATATATTTTGAATCAAACTATAATAAAACTCTTTAAGAATCCACCAAAATTCTACACCAAATTTCATGTATTATAACTTCAACCTCGATTAGATCATTCCCTCTATTTTCTGCCGCATGCTTCTATAATATTTTATAATAAAAAGTAATCAAAACTAAACTGAAACAGAATCTTGAAACTGATAAAACTATCAAACTACCTAAAACCAAAATTTTACGATGAAAACAAAATCAAAACAGAGTTTTAAAACCCTGTTAAGAATGCCCTCCTATTCTCTCATAAAATTTGTCTACAAGCCCGATTCATCCCTCTCGAATGAATTTAGGGAAAAGCAAGCCAACTATTTATAGGTCCAATTATTAATTTTGTATCAAAAGGGATCCATTAACAAGTCAACCAATTTGGCATTGTATATAGCTCAAATTATCAATTCAAGGTGAAGATCAAGATGTAGATCTATCAACAAGGTCATTATCAAATTGCGTCAAATTATTTTTCAGCACTAATTTGGTATCATAGTTGAATTTCTCGGAGGTAATTGTATCTAAATAATAGCCAATCATTCTTCTTTCTACTTTCAAAGCTCCAATATATTGGTTTTCAACTGATTCCACAATGGATTTATTTTATGACCATAATAGAAGATATGGCAATGAGAGCTATAATAGAAGATATGGCAATCGAAAACTCCGAACTCATCCGTTTCGTCTAGTCGGAGGACTTCTACTCCTTCCTCCTTCAACTCGGCGGGCTCGCAGCAGTCAAGGAAGCTTTTGGAAGCCTTCAAATAGCATATTTAGCAATTTGGAGCACCTTGGACAGCAGTGACAATGTCCGGAGTGGCTTATACAACAACTTCATCTTTCTCGCCTTTTGACAAGGCGAGTGCATTGCGGCTTGCACCAAGACAACCCGACGAGATAAAATCCTTTGAAACTTAGTAAAACCTAGGTCCCAAAGCAAATAGTTGTGTGGTTGACACTTCCCAAGCCATAGGTCCTTTAGAAACTTTGATTTTTGCTTCCTAAAAACTCTCCATTCACTGTCCTCTCCGCAAAACTGCGAAAACTTGGTGATTTCCATTTGTTTAATCTCTTGTGAGAACCAAAAAGGCATGCCGATATGCTTAGGGTGGTCGGATTTGTGTCCGGCAACCCCACAAATGCATGTAAAAGCATTCATATTTGTGTCCAAACCGTCACCTATAACAAACCTAGGCTTCACTGCCATCGCACCCAAATTTGGTGTCTATGCATTTGACCAAACAAATTGCATTGGTGCTTAGGATTTTGATTATGCTAAAATTCATCTGAAAAAAACGTCGGTCTCTTCTCTAAGATTTGCATGTTTATAAATATTTTTGGGGGAATTTTAAGCATGTTCATTTAATTTGTGTGACAAATTTGAGATAAATATGGATTTTCAAAGACCCATAAACTAATCCCTTATGTGTCCCTAAATTATTTAAACATGCTTCACATCTCTTAATTCATATGGATGAGGATGATAGTGAGTAATCCTCTAGAATGTAAACTACCTAATTTTTGTACCATGACAAAATTGGCATAAACATTGGAGAGTTTGCAATATCGGAATTGATAGCCTCTAGGAATTGGTGCATGACTAATGGATTTGCTTGGTTGGAAGGGATATTTAAGATATCAAATTATTGTGAGGTTTTCTATAGACCCTCAAAGGTCTATGTTGTAAACCCCACAATGTTTATGATCAACCAAATTCATGATTAATCTATTCACCAAATTTAGAGCACGCAAGTGACGATCATTGTTTGTCTACATCTTCAACATTTGAAACTTGGAAAATTAACTAAATTGGCTTATCTAACCTTCAAGTGGGCTTGAGATATGGCATGGGCCCTCAAAGGCCCATGAGCCCTCATGCTCAAGGTTAACTAGCTCTATTTTGTGTGGCTTTCCAAATTCAATTATTGGAACAAAATGGCCAAAATTCTTGGAGATTGAAACCTTGCATCAATGCTTTAATAAATCAATTCATATCAAAATTGATCTTAGGATCTTCCTAGAGACCTTCAATCATCTAATCATGTCAAAATTGATTGGAACTTTCTCTAAAGCCTTAGATGTGTTTTCCTACTCTAACTTGAGTCAAAATCATGTTTCCTAGATCCCTTTCTAAGATTACTAAGCCTCCAAATTTCTTAATCATAACAAAATTGGTTTAGAAATCTTTCCAAAGCATTAGGAAATCAACCTTTTCCCTCTCCAAATGAATCCAAAACATTCATAGAAGATTAGTGAACTCCTTTTCAAATGCATATTTCTTTCATGCATGATGTTTGGAGCCTCCTCAAGTCCCCAAAGGCTTCATTACATGAATCTTTAGCATCCCTTAGGAGCTATTGTCGCTCTACCTTGGGTATGGTGTTGTGAATTTTCTCAAAAGACTCAACATAACATAGCACATCTTCAGGGTTATCACCTACCATTTTTCATGTAAGATATTTTGAAGCCTTCCCAAAGCTTTAAATGTTCTATCATATAAATCATCGTGACTTTATGACCAAATCCTAAGTCACTTCAT